AGTACGTTTTCATTTAAAGGATTTGCCACTGATGATTCAAACGCGAGTTTTGGGCAGTAGAGTAGCACTTGTTGTTTGTCATTTCTCCGATCACAAATGCAGACAAGAGTTTTATGTTTATGCGACGCGATGCAATGCAACGCAACACGTAAAAAGACAGTATAAGTCATTATAATCAGTAATTATGTCCCCACTGGATGCAACAAATGCCTCGTTTGTAATGAGTTTTAATGTTGTCTCGTCGCTCCAGCCGGAACACGCCATCAACAGTATGTGAGAGGCGTAACATTTCCGTCTCACGCTTGAGGTATTCGGCCAATCACAACGCACTGGATAGCTGGCCAATCAGAGCACACCTCACTTTTTCAGCTTTGTAAAAATCGACGCATTTCAAAAAGGCGGTGCATAGAGGAGAAACAATAATGTACAGTATGTGGAAAATAATGTGTTTTTTTTAACTTTAAACCGCATAAACACATTTAATTACACCAAATACACAAAATAATGTTCTTTTTAGCAGCATCATATGACCCCTTTAAACTGTCGACACGCGTCTCTGTCCCTTTAAGAGGTTAGTTAGTGCTCAGCAGCGAAACCTCCGGCATAACAAACACAACCATCAGCAGCTCAACACTCAAAACTTTCCCCAGCACATCTCACATTACTGGAGTTTAAAACGCCCCGCGTCAACACAGCGCGATATAACGGGAATATGTAACGCGAATCAATGACGGTAAGATGCGATTTTTACATTCAAACTGACATTTGATAACATCTAACAAGTCTGTTGGATCTGTAGCGGGCAGTTTGATTCATATCTGAAGGCTGTTCATTGTGTAAAGTTTGATGTTCCATCGGTTATTATTATAGCTCGTTTTTCTTAATACAGTCTTGGTGGTCTAAAATTGTCCCAGACCTTGTGAAAAAGGTAGAAGTGCTGTCAGGTGAAGCTTAATTTTTTAGTTAAGGTCGTGAGTTTAACTATGACCCAGCAGAGTGTTTACTGTTCTGAAGGAATTCCATTGATTCTCATGTCAGGATCAGCTGCAAAAGTGCATTGAATCCTCATGCACTGCACTGTAACATATACTGTAAGATTGGCTCTGTGGGGTGTTACTCACTGAGGAATCCGATATCCACAGGCTTTGCACCCCTGAATGTCACAGTTTAGTTTAAACTGATTTAGAAACACTCGGAGCTAATTTGCCAGTTCCTTACAGACACAACAATTGTGGGAGTCACTGGGGAATTTGCAAGAATAACATGCCATTTTGGAGGACTTTTCATTCAGCAAGTTTATGTGCCTGATAGGGAGAAGCTCTACAATTATCCCACACTTTTTTGGGAGAAATCATTACTTTTAAAGTATACATGCATGTACTTTTAAAATTCTTCTTACACCCCTGTATATGCCATATGTGTAACTGAGCAGATTCCTAAATGCAGATTAAGTTCTCACGACATGGGCGAGTGTATTTGTGATAAATCTCTTGTTGCATAATCTGACCTGTATTTCCCTCGCTGCTCTTCATGACACTTGGAAGATGGGACATATTTTCAGATCTGGCAGAGATTCGACCTTTGGAAAGACCCATGTAAGGGTTTCTGGATGTGGTTTTTAATTTTAAGTTTACCATCTAATCCAGTGTTTTGATTTTGTACGATTATTCTTGAAACATTGCAGACATTTTAGTTAATCTATTTATTCTGATTCTGCAGCTCTGCTTATATCCTATATAGTTTTATTTTATTTTAGAGGTTTATAACAGAAACACTCTTGCTACATAATATAATATAATATAATATAATATTCAAAAGTTTGGGGTTGTTAGTATTTTTTAAATATAATTCTCTTATGCTCACCAAAACTGCATTTATTTGATTAAAAAATACAATAAAAACACTAATGTTATGAAATATTATAACAATTTAAAGCAACTGTTTTCTAATTTAATATATTTTAAAATAAAAATTATTCTTGTAATGGCAAAGCTGAATTTTTTGCATCATTACTCCAGTCCTCAGTGTCACATGATCCTTCAGAAATCTTTCTAATATGATGATTTTAATATGCTTATTATTATTGTCAATGTTGAAAACAGTTGTGCTTCTTAATATTTTTGTGGAAACGGACATAAATTTCAGGATTCTTTAATGAATGTAAATAAAATAAAATATATAATATAATATAATATACAAGTAGAGCAAGCAAAACTAAATTATATTACCAAATATACTGCAATGCAGGAAACAAAAATAATGCAACAAATTAATAAAATAAACATTGATAATATTACGTAAAAATAAAAAGACAGGAAGCTTTTGTTGAAATGTATGTTTTCACATGTTTTTATGTGTGCATGCATTGGCTGCTTCAATATTTGTGCTTTAGTTTGAATTTTCTCTCTGTTATTAGTGATCTGATGTGGCTTAAATGTGAAAGCGTAGGTTATCTTGCAGCAGTGTGGTTTCAATCCAGTTAGGGAACAGAGATCTCAATATGTGTTTGAGCAAGGGTCCAGCATATTAATACACAAGTGTGTTCTGTCTTCTCAGCTACGCGGCCTCCACCAGTTGTGAACAATGACGTATTGTGTCACACAATAGTGCTTCACTGTTATTTATACACACTCCCTAGCACACTGCATCCCAAAAGCCTCCTTGATTCCTGCGTTTCACAAATTGCTTTTGACTCTACAGCTTCCACTAATTGTTCGTTCTGGTTGCCCAGGGATGTTTGAGTAGGATATGAGAGGGAAATATATTTAGAGATGTTTTTCTCCTTTGGCTCCATCACAACCCACAGAGCAGTGCAATCAACAGGTCATGAAGCATGCTTTTCTATTAAAGGGGTGGTTGATTGCGATTTCGTTTTTTTAATGTTAGTTAGTGTGTAATGGTGCTGTTTGAGCATAAACAATATCTGCAAAGTAGTATGAGACAACAACAAACAAAAATCTTAGGCCTACCATTAAAAGCCGTGCTTGCACAGGTTCTGCGCGATCCTCTTTACTAATATCCTCTGCGTCTCAATCGGGCTCAAATTGATAAGTAGTATAGACAACATCATTGTTTACAATACAACCGGAGCACATGCTACTATGTTGAGGGGCGGGACGTTTAGACGCATGCTAGAGGCGGTTTAGCCAATCACAACACACTGGACTAGCTAACCAATCAGAGCCCATCGTGTATTTCTGAGGGAGGGGCTTCATAAAAGCAGGAAATGATCAGCGCGTTCAGAGGAGAAGGGACAGAGTGGTGTGGAATAAAGGTAAATTATGTGAAAAATAATGTGTTTTTTAACAAACGAAGCATTAACACATGTTAGACTGCACCCCATAAACACAATCAAGCCTATAAAAAAAAACAGCCAACCACCCCTTTAATAAAAAAAGCAACAAATAATCATGCAAAAGAAAAACAACAGACAAAGAAATATATTTCTATAAAAGCATTTAAATAAAGTTATTAATTTAAACGGCGTTCTCACTGTCCTCCCATGAGACTGAATTACATTAGCCGAGGCTTTATTTGATTTATGTGTAAGTCTGTGCCTGTGCCATTTATTGAATGCTGTGCTAATGTCTTCACTTCCTGTTGCATGCACTGCCTAGATGTACAGAACCTTCAAAGTTGTGCTGTTTGAATCTCTCGAGAGTATGAAACATCATTTGAAATGCAAATAAGTAATTTTCCTGCTAACAAGTAATTTTCCTGCTGATAAGAATTACTTTTCATGGATTGCTATCCAAGATAATTTAGGGATCATTCTGTCACAGAAGTGTTTTCCTTCCCATTAAGATCTGGGGAACTATAGTTCATTCCATTCCATTACGGTTGTTTTTCACATGAATTATATGAATCAACTGGGTGGAATTGAAACACAGCTTTTTAGGTTGTTCCCAAAAAGGGCTCAAAGCATGATTGCCATCACAGTTGGCATTAGCGCTTATTACTTATGGACTATGCAAAATAAAAAAATAAAAAAACTGCAAGCATGAACAACATAAGTAATTGAAAATTCAAAACACGTTTTGCTCGAGTTACTTGATGGACCTGCCAAAAAAGGTTGCGGAAATACCAGATTAAGAGAGCTTAAAGGGTTAGTTCACCCAAAAATGAATCTTCTGTCATCAACTATCCTTGTGTCATTCCAAACCCAGACGTTTGTTCATTTTTAAAACACCAATTAAGATATGTTTTTAAAGAAACCTGAGAGATTTCTGGCCATTGAAAGTCCATGCAAACCAAATCTTTGATACAAAAAACTTCATAAAAGTAATCTAATATGAATTGAACGGTTTCATTTTAGTCTTCTGATAATAACGATTTATTGCAAGCATGGTTGATCTTCTGTGTTTGTCACATAGTTTTTGATATGCACTTTGTATTTGCATTGATCAATGTTTATAAAAGCTTACATTTAATGTTCATAAAGTGATCATGTCTCTTCAGAAGACTTGGATTAAACTGCTGTATTCATATCGGATTACTTTTACAATGTCTTTTTGTACTTTTTGAAGCATGAAAATGTTGGTTGTCTGGACTTTAAATGGATTGGCAAAAATGATGCGAGAATATTAAAAATATTTTCATTTGTGTTCCAAAGATAAGCAAAAGCCTTATTGGTTAGAAATGACATGAGAGTGAGTAAGTGATGATAGAATTTACATTTTTGGGTGAGTGTCCCTTTAAAAATGAAGTATCTCAGGAAGGACACTGTAAGCATTGAAAAAGTGTGTGTGTCCTGTTTTAACAGCTTTTAATTTTTACATTTTAAACAAATTTGTGAATTGCATGCAAAGGAAACAGCCGTACTGTAAGTGAAAAATGTGTGGTAGTGTGCACGTTGTTTTCTATAGCTATAGAGTGATTGGTTAGACGTTATGAGCTCATATTAACGCAAGTCTTGTTTACACACTTCATAGCAAGAAAACATGCATCATCACTGGCTTCATTTGGTAACACGGTTGTGAAAGTTACAGGAAATGTGTAACACACAGCCAGTTGTCTCATTGAAATGAGTGGCTCTTTTATAGCGTAAACTCAATGTGATTGCCAATGTCCCTTTGCTCATGAAAGACTTATTCTGTTGCTTTTGGTGTCTAGCATTCCTTTAACATATACAAATGGCTGAAATTCTAGTTGTTTTATGGTGTTTTTTAAAAATCAGAAGAGCTTGTCAAGGTCAGCATGTCAAGGACACAGTTTGTGTGAAAGTACTTTTTAGGTTTTATGTGTGCCACCTCATTCAAATCAGTTTCATTCTATGCAACATTATCAATGTGTCAACCCTTCTTATGGTTTGAGATGGCTGCGATGATCACCAGTTCATCTGTGTATCATACACCGTATCTCTTTTCCTCTAGCGTGGGAGAGAGGAGGAGGGTTTTGTTTGAGGGACAGCTGTATCCTGTGTATTCAGTAGTTCGGAGAAAACCCAGATCGGTCATCAAGATAAATATAGTTGGGGCGGACAGAGCAGAGCAGGGCACAGTTTTCCCAGCAAAATGCATGCTGATTGTTGTTTGAGATGGTAGGCAACTAGGCATCTTGCTCTGCGATTGAAGAGATGTGGAGGATGATTTGAAGATGCTGCTGGAATGAGATGGTTCTGGTGTCCTGCTGGTTCCAACCACCATCTTTACCTTGTCTAGACCTTCATCTACAAGAACAGACCTGCCTGAGATCTTATCTGCAAGTGTCCCTTCCCCCGGCGAGATCCGGCGCTCATTAGACAAACACAACCCCGTTTGTAGTGCGTCATTCCAATGCGTCTATTACAGCTTTTTCTTATAAGGTTGTAGGGTGTTTGGGATGATTACTTACTTGCCCGCAAGTCATAAAATTATATTGAGATCTCTTTTTTTAGACATTTTTATTATCAATTAGGCAAAAATCATGTTCTCTCTGTACTTGTACGTTAAAAACAAATGGCCTTTTCTCAACAAGCCGCATGGTTTGAGGTATTGGTAATGTTTATTGCACAAACTGTGCAGGCTAAGTTTAATATTTAGGCTTGTTGGTTTGTGCAAATCCTTAACTCTAAATATAGACTATAATATTAATAGTAATACAGATAATAAACAGATTTGGTCTGTTGTTGAGTAGCAAATCAGTTGTCTAATGCATTGTGTGCTGTAAAATTTAGAAATTGTGGCTTTGATATTTCTTGGCTTCTTTTTTCTTTGCAAAATAGTCCCTGAATTAGCCACAAAATTATAACTGTAGTGCATGGCAGCCATATCACCCTGTAGCCCAAGACTGGTTGGTTACCTACTGAAGCTAAGCAGGGCTGAGCCTCGTCAGTACCTGGATGGGAGACCTCCTGGGAAAACTAGGTTGCTGCTGGAAGAGGTGTTAGTGAGGCCAGCAGGGGGTACTCTATGTGGGTCCTAACGCCCCAGTATAGTGATGGGGACACTATACTGTAAAAAGCACCGTCCTTCGGATGAGACGTTAAACTGAGGTCCTGACTCTCTGAGGTCATTAAAAATCCCAGGATGTCTTTCGAAAAGAGCCTGGCCAAATTTGCCCATTTGGCCTCTGATCATCATGGCCTCCTAACAATCCCCATATCTACTGATTGGCTTCATCACTCACCTCTCCACCAATAAGCTGGTGTGTGGTGGGCGTTCTGGCGCACTATGGCTGCCGTCGCATCATCCAGGTGGATGCTGCACACTGGTGGTGGATGAGGAGATACCCCCTGACAATGTAAAGCGCTTTGAGTGCCTAGAAAAGCGCTATATAAATGTAATGAATTATTATTATTATTATTATTATTATTATTATGTGGTTGAAAACTGAAACAACCACTGGGAGTCTGCATGTCAACCTGATCAAATGTGATGTAAATGCGGTAATGTGGCTGTGTGATGATGTCACTCAAAAATGCGTGAACGTAGCTATTTTGTTAAGGTGTTGAGAAATTGTACTTTCAGTCAGTTTAGAGAGGCAAATCCACAATTAGATGAAGGGAAAGCCATGAATGAATAGAAAGTTCAGTACAGCATTTATTTGAAATAGAAATATTTTGTAACATCATAAATGTCTTTACTGCCACCTTTGATCAGTTAAATACATCCTTTCCTGAATAAAAGTATTAATTTCTTTCAGAGAAAAAAAATGAAACAGTAGTGTAAATGAAATGCTGATTCAGAGCCATTTTGTCATTTTCATGATGCAACACGTTTAGACACATAGTCATCACTTTGCTGTGGAAAGTGGATGCAAAGAAGAAAAGACCAATCATAATTCAGTATGCAAACAGATGTAGGAGAGAAGACCAGTTGCAATACAGTCAGCAAATATTACCATGACATCCTCACTACCAGTGACATTTTGAATGCTGAACAAGTCAATAAGAAATTTTTAAACTTTAAATGTTGCTAAAAAGAACATTATTTTGTGTATTTGGTGTAATGAAATGTGTTTATGTGGTTTAAGGTTAAAAAAACACGAAAACAAAGTAGTTTCGCTTTCACAACGAAACACAGCATCACACACGGCGGGCTAGAGTGAGCGGCGGCTGTCGGGCTTGAGAACGGCGCGGCCGTCGGATTTGACGAAGGAGCAGCCGGAGGGCTTGCGGCAACCACATGTGACGACCCGGTTGACTCTTAACTTTTATAAAGAATATCTCTTTGGATTTGAGACTTTAATCTTTGCAACTTTACAGATTTTCTTTATGCACCAAGAGCTTGTAACACTGCTAAGAGAAAGGAAAAATGGAACTCGCATCATATGACCCCTTTAATTCAAAATGTAAACATTTACAAAAAGCAAAAACAGGCAGCATACTCAATACTGAAATTATATACAGAGCAAATCTGAATGGAGTCTGTAGATTAAGGGCTTCAGGCTGAATTCATTGCAGATGTTTTGCCACTGGTTGGCTTGTTTGGCTTCACGATGACAGTCTTGCTGAAGGGAGTTTTTCTGCATTGCTGCTAGGGGGAAAAAGACAACACCTGGACCCGTTTCTCTCCTTTTCCTCAGGTCACACTTTATCAGTCCGCCTCACAAGCTTCCTGCCTCCCCCCTCACCGTGGGATCCGGTGAATCAGAGTGGCCGAGCCAAAGGTTAGCATCCAGAGTCCAGACAAAGGAAGACGAGGATATGACTCATCAACCTTTTTTAACGGCCTTCTAATGTCTGCTTTTCTACGCAGACTCAGTGTTGTTGAGTGAAACAGACCCTGTTGATATTTTAACACATTTCTGACTTTTTATTGCGATTCATAATTGCAGTGGAGCGATTGTGATCTCTGCCACAAATAGAAAGTGTGCTCATTACCTCCAATTTGAGATGTCCTTGAGAGAGAACACTGTGCATCCTTTGTGGGTTTGAGATGTACACCCTGTGATGAGCGTTTATCCAATCATCACTCCCACCTGTCAGGCTCCGCCCCTCCTGGAGGTCTGGAATCTAGCGGCTCTCTGTTCCTGGGTTTGGCTGTATGCCACTCGTAGCCTTGAGATTTCTCTTTGGCCACTGTTCTCAAGTGCTGTCGGTCTTTTGGACACGCAGTCAGGAAAGTGTCAGGAATGTTTATAGAAAGCGTTCGCACTGGGTCGCTCCCAAAGTTATGCCATCCCCGCCAAAAGCTTTGCCCCACCCATGTGTTTTTTCTCCCAGGCCCACCCTAGTGGAGTCTTTTTTCTCGGCTATAGTTCCCTCATGTTTTCAACAGCTTTCCTTCAATGAACAGAGGCTTCTAAAAATAGTCAGAATAAATATGACCGTATTGGCATTCCTTGCATGTACTCCGTTACAGCTTATGATGATTTGTGACACTGTAATATTCCCATTTGTGTCCACTCTGAATGCTCATTTTCAGATGGTACAAAGATTTGTTTTTGTTCGCTCAATGACTGTTTTGTTCCAATTCGGTGGTTTTAAGAGTCATGAATGGGGTCATGCCATCATCTGCAAATGTTAGGGTGATTCAGTCTCAGCTGAAAAATGCTCGCTGTCATAAACATTTTTAACGTCATTTTGGACCCGTATCCGGGTCCGCAGAGTTTAACTGGTTTTAACCTCCCTGCAACTATCAGCCATGTCTTTTGTTTGTCAAATTTAGAGGTGGACATTACTATTTTTGTAAGATTTGTCTTAGCATTTAGGCACAATTCTAGTATAATAATTTAATAAATAAATAAATAAATAAATAAAATTATTATTATGAATATTAAAATGTATAATGAAATAAATAACTAATAATATTAATAAAATAATTTATTATTGTTATTATTATTATTGTTGTTGTTGATGTTGTTTTTTATTGCTAATTGTACAACACATAAAAAAGCCACAAGCGAAAATTGAGACATTATTATTGTTTATTATTTTTATTATGTAAAAATCCAGTCTAACCTTTATTATTCCTTCTCCATCATTTTTTCTTAAATTTTAACTGTGCACATGTACACATGCATTTGCATATAACAAAGAACAGGAACAAGAAAACAAAACACACAAATAAAACATCTCCATACATTAATATTCATTACCACCTCTATTCTTAGTTTTCTGTTAGCACCTCACTAGCATCACCATTTATTAAGAACAGTTTGAATGGTCCCTAAATACCATCAAAGATCTTCCGTGTCCCTTAAAATATAAGTTTTCTTTTCCATTGACATATTTGTAACCATTTCATTCAGGCAAAGTCATATATTTGGTGCACAAATACATTTTCAATTTAAAGTAATAAGCTGTTTTACTTGCAGGATATATGTTTAGAAATATACATTTTCTACTTTTTTAAATGGATCTCCTTATAAATGAAATAAAAAAGTAAAAGTCACAGTGAAATGTTAACATCAAGGAATTAATTCTTTCACATCTTTCCAAAAGTGTTTAACTTCTTTACACTCTCATATGGTATGATATAGCATGCCTTTAAATTTACAACATCTTAAATGAATATCATGGACATTTTCATTATATTTATGCAATACAGTTGGAGTTATGGAAGTCCACATTAACCATTTGTATTGAAGCAACTTCAGATGACTGTTCATTGTTTCTAACTGTGTGTTTTTACATACTTCTATTAGTCTTTGTTTGTATAATATAGTGTGTTTTACATATTATTTATTTACTGCACTGATGGTAGATCAAATTATTGGTGGATTAAAGTGATAGTTCACACAAACCTATATGAGTTTCTTTCTTCTGTTGAACACAAAATAATAAGGTATTTTGAATAATATTGGTAACCAAACAGTTGACGGTAGCCATTGACCTCCATAGTATGGGAAAAAATTCTATAGAAGTAGATTTGATGTAAATGATGACAGAATTTTCATTTTTGGGTGAATTATCCCTTTAAAGAGGTCTCTTTATTGCAATGAAACCTATTTTCTTTGCTTGTTTTCTCAGATGAAGGACTGGTGTCGTCTTCTACTCTTGGCTGGAATTGCTGCTGTTTTGCATGCAGCCGAATGAGCACCCATGCACACTATGGCAACAATCGGTCCATGCTCAGATGCAGAGGACCTGTTGGCTTCCATCCACCTCGAGAGGTATCTGGACCACTTCCGTCAGGCAGGCTTTCTCCTCGCCCGAGACTTCTGTCATGTGGACAATGTAGCTCTGAACAGGGTGGGAGTCACTGCCACCGGCCACAGGAAGCGTATCCTCAAACTAGTCGAGCACATTCAGCTGATCTGTCAACAGCCCTCGCTAGATCGCTGTAATTCAGACTCTGCTATTCACGAGGTGACCCCTGTCAAAGCGCAGCCTCATTCTCCTTCAAGACGTCCTGGCATCTCCTTAGAAGCCTTACGTAACAGCTCGGCCCCGAATCTTTGTGCACAAGTGAAGCGCTCGTTCTCAGAGCGTAGCACCAGTGTCGTAAAGCCAGTACCAAAACCAAGAACTGTCTTCCACAGACTGAGAGCAGAGAAAATTTCTTTACCAACACAACATGAAGCGCAACCTCGCCAAAAGTCATCTCAGGACTCACTTTTAAAAGTTGCAGAAGGTTTATCCTCCAGTACAGACACTGTTGAAACATCTACTGAATCAAAAAAGGGCCATTGTGAACCAGCTTTGAGTAATACCACTTCATTCCTAGAGACTAGTGATCCGTTACCTCCAGTGCCCCCCAGGTTAAATCGAGGAATCCCCCCATCCACATTCAGGAGAATGTCGGAGCAGGAGCGTCTGAGCACCCCACCCCTCTGCACCCCTCCTGACTCCCCCTCGAGTTATCAGTGCTCTCCCTTCACTAACACACCTGGTTCACCTCCAAGTCCACCCTGCTCAGGGCTAGAGATGGTCTCCAATGAAATCTACTGTGGCACTTTACCAGGCACTCCACGTGTGTTTTGGAGTCGCTCTGTACCCATTCCCCCTCCACGCCAGGAGGTCAGCCCATCCACTGAAAATCATAGGTAAACTCTTGTCATTCTGCTGTATTGTGGTTCTTACGACTATGACAAAGTTTTGTTTATCCCCATACAACTAACTGAAGTTTCTCCTCCTATAGCACTTTAGAAAAGTCCAACTCAACTGAAACACCTAAAAGAACGTCTGGTAGGTTTATTACCACCACTTATTTCAAACTTTGTTGTGGAAAATGTTGTTATTTACTAATATTTATGACTTTCTTTCTTCCATTGAATGAATAATGTACAATTTTCTGTACAACGAAACTGTACAATAAGAGAAACGAAAGGGTATATATACTGTATTCACTACCGTTCAAAAGTTTGGGGTCAGTACAATTTTTTTCTTTTGATTAATTAATTGAATAAATTAATATTTTTATTCAGCAAGGATGCATTAAATTGATCAAAATTGTCAGTAAAGACATTTATAATGTTTCAAATAAATGCTGTTCTTTTGAAATTTCTATTCATCAACGAATCTTGAAAAAAAAACGTATCACGATTTACACAAATTTTAGCAGTGCAACTGTTTTCAACATTGATAATGATAGGAAATCACCATATTACAATGATTTCTGAAGAGTAATGATGCTGAAAATTCAGCTTTGCATCACAGGAATAAAAGACATTTTACAATAAATTCAAATAATATTTCACAAAACTACTCATTTTACTGTACTTTCTATAAATGCAGCATTGGTCAGTTTTGAACCTCAAGTTTTGAACAATAGTGAAATGTGCTAAAAACTTGCCATCCATCATCAATCTACCATCTCACTTGTGCATATTTGCCTTTTTATGTTATGGTTTGAGAGCTACGCTGGGTAGGAAGATTTCATTAAACAGGTTGGCTTTAGTGTGCTTTACATGCCATGCTGTCATATCGCTAAAGAACACTTGAGTTGGATGTTTAGCACTTAATATTTAATTTTATCTTATGAATTTTTGTTATGTTGCAATTTTCTGTTCAACCGACATAGTATCTGCTGAGGATGAAGATGAAATGATCAACCCGTACTGTGAAACTGTTTTCCACAGCAGGCGACACTATCAACATTCAGAGGTAAGACACTTAAAGTAAAAATTCTCTCTAAAATAAAGTTTGGTCTCACTTACTCCAAGTGTACTCTAATAGGTGCAATTTATTTATGGTTGAATGTTTTTAGGTTGAGAGGACCAAAAGTGAGGAAAAGACAACAAATAATGAAGATAAAAAAAGAGAACATGGGTAAGTCCAAGTATTTCCATTAGTGTTCAACTTGACCGCTTTAACAAAATCCAGCCGAATGTTTGGTTTGCCCGCAGAGTTATATCCAGCTGTTAATCACAAAGTGACACCTAAAACAATGGAGTAAAGAGTTAGTGTGTTTACTTGGTTGAGCTCTAGTGTCTTCCAGCCTCATAGAATGTGTGAGTCTAGAGCTTCCAATGTAAGTGTCTGCATCTGTGAGGCAAGGATGGATATTTTTATATAAAAAAAGAGCATTAATGTCTTAAAGGGATACTTCACAAAAAAATGAAAATTCTCTCATCATTCACTCGCCCTCACGGCATCCCAGATGTATGTGACTTTCTGAGCTCAGATGAGCACAAATTAAGATTTTTAGAAAATAGGGTGACCATACGTGCTCTTTTGCCTAAAATATCCAGGTTTTGGCTTTGTTTTCCTGTTTTCATAATTGCTTTTGACTAAAAGCAGTGCTGCGCATACCGATCAGTGTTTGACATTAAAGTACCGTGAGAGCTATAGAGAGCAGACGGCTCCTTATGCTTTCGGATCGCTCTCGCGGTACTTTGATGTCGTACACCGATCGGTCTGCACAGCGCCACTTCAAGGCGAACATACCTATTATGTAAGCATCACTTTGACTGTTCTCTGTAGATCCCACCTTCTCACGCGCCACGATTGGTGGATGATTCACAATGCCTGCATGTTATTGGTCAATCTACTTTTCGATCATTACCTTCAGCAAGTATGAAAACAGGAAAACAAAGCCAAAACCAATGTTGTAAAAAGCACGTATGGTCACCCTAAAAAACACTCCATCTCTAGATTGGCAGATATATAATGCAAGTGGATTAAACCCTCAAAGCTGACACCTCAAAATCCATGCAAAATGAACACGATAGTAATCCATACAACCCCAGTCTTATGGATTACACTAATATTTTAAACTTTTTAAACAATAAACTGTCGCTTCCGGCCAGTTGTCATACACAGTTTCACGATAGCTTCGTGAACAGCAGCACGTTGTGAAGTGTGATGCAAGCACTTCCTGAAGCTTACGCAAGATGTGATGTAGAAGCACTTTCTGATGTTTATACCAAGCGTGAACTCTGTAAAATGTCAGTATTTTGAAATGTTTGTATTTTTCTCTCACACACCTATTGTTTCACTTCAGAAGACATTGTTTCATCCACTGTGATCTATATCTTTCCATATAATAATAATAATATTTTTAATTTTTAGAAAATATTTCTTGAACTGTTCATTTGGCTTAATTATGTCATGTTATATTGTATTATATTCATTATATTATATTATTATATTTTTACAATAACTTGTCTTTTTTACCACTGACAATTTTGCTCTGTTTTTAGTGTAAATCTTACAAAATTTTTGTTGATGCTTAATACAAGAAAAAATACCCCAATTTGTTAGTGGGTTAAGAAAAAGGTTACAAAACTTACTTAAAAATGCATTTTTGCTTCTTATTATTTAGCTTGTTTTCAGGAGGTTTCCATCTTTTTACTGGAACATAAAACTAGGCCTGTCACGATAACAACGTTTTGTTGTGCAATATACTGCCCCAGAAATAATTGCGATAAACAATATTATTGTCATTTTAAAACCATTTTAGGCCACTGAATATATAATCGTAATATAAAAGCAAAATAATACAAGAAGGCCAACACACTTTCAAATGACAACAAACTTTGAATTCTTAAGAATATTTAGATCATGGAAATTAAGTATCAAAATATTAGATTCTTTAAAAAACTTGAATAAATAGTAAATAAACATTTTCTAACAAAAAGTGCAAAGTAACAAGTAGAAAAAAAAGAGAAAATCCCCAAAGAACTTGTATGGAGATGTTTCCATCTACAGATTTTTCCCTGACCTTCTTTTCTCTGTAAATTAAGGGTGCACACTATTGCTGAAAAACACAATCACTACTTAGCAGTCAGATGTCCGTATGCACAAAGGCACAGATCCCTAAACAAGACCATATCTGCAGATGAAACTTTTTTGTAGAAGCATTTTTAAAATCTGAACTAGCACCAACTACACCACATTATGTTTGAGAAGTTGCAAAAGACACTGGCGAAAGTGGAATGCAAAATACATGGTGACATGAATTTTTATGTAAATATAATGGGCAATATATATTGCGTCACCAAAAATTATTGAGGTCATGTACATATATTGTGCGATAAGTCGATATATTGATTATTGCGACAGGCCTACATAAAACTGATTTTTTTCAAGTAGTAATATTACTGTACAGTTTATATTTTTAACTTCCTCCTCCCACAGGCAGCACAATCACTCTTGGCTCAAGCGTCTTGATTCTCCAGGCTACTGCACTGTGGGTGAACCGTCCCCGGCCTCTCATTCGTTCTCAGACGAGGACCACATCATCTCCCCCTACGCCAGCTTCACCTCGCTGTCCGAGCGGGCGGCACCCATCCTCAGCGGCTGGCTGGACAAGCTTTCTCCTCAAGGGTACGCCCCGTCGGGGCTGCTGCTGCTCTCCTCTCATCTCTGCGTCTCCTGCATGCTCCTCAATGGCTGTTTCTGCTCCCTGTCTCTCCTCTCCGGCCGGTTTGTCATTACTTCACATGTTGTGTCTCCTGCTGTTTGTTCCTGTCCTCTGCTTGACACCTTCCAGTGTCTAGATTCATTTCCTCCTTGAATAATTTCAGACAGCACTATATTAAATGTGACCTTTGTAGTGTAGTTGTTTCTCTCTGATGTCATCTTTGTTCCTCTGTTATAGAAACTACGTGTTCCAGAAACGATATGTGAAGTTTGATGGGAGGAACTTGATGTACTATGCTAGTGAAAAGGTATGATTGCATGTGAACAACTCCAAACAAACATCCTGATGTTTTATGATTGAATGGATCATATCATGCATTTATCACTCATTTCATATCATATCATCAAAAGTTTGGGGTCAATAAAAATTTTTGAAAGAATTCTCTTATGCTCACCAAGGCTACATTGTCAGTGTCACATGATCCTTCAGAAATCAGTATAATATGCTGATTTGCTGCTCAAGAAACATTTCTCAATATTATCAATAATACCATTGTGTTGCTTAATGTTTTTGTGCAAACTGTGATACTTTTTTGAAAAGTCCAAAAGAACAGCATTTATTTAAAAGAGAAATCTTTTGTAATAATTTAAATGTTTTTACTGTCACTTTTGAACAATGTAATGCATCTTTGCTGAATAAGAATATTAATTTATTTAAAAAAAATAATGTAATTGACCCCAAACTTTTGAATGCTAGTGCAGTTTTTCCACTCTCTCTCTGAATTGCTTTGACATAAATCCCATCTTTGCATGTGTGGGCAGAGGTGTACTGTTGAATGTAATTTTTAACCGGCCCTGCCATATTGTGATCAATGAATAGTGTGTTAAACAGGTGAACAACACTGAATAGAAGCTGTTGACGTGTAAAGCCCCTTTCACACCAAATGCAATACAAGAAATCTTAATAAATCTTTGATGAATGGTCTATTCACGCAAAGAGCGAAACCAATATTCATTGGGCTGAATGAAAATTGCACAAGCAATAGTTGGTGCTGATCGACAGCCAAATTCATGTGTGCGTTGAACCTTTCAGCACAGCTGGTCTGGGAAATGTTATGTTACACTATTTAGTCATTTAAGGTTTGCAAGTTAGTTTCAATAAATGATATTTTTGGGCTGGGCAGGATGTTTGTTTTCCCAAAGTTACAGTGCAGCGTGTTTTCATAGTACAATCGACTGATTCATCATGATATATATGACCCACTTAAGCACTTCAGGCTGCCTGAAGACCTTCAGAATCCAAACAATTCTTACATTCCCTTGTGTTTTCCTGCAGACGTCACATAAGTTGGAACACTGTTATTCCTAACACAAATGGTCTATTTTTCCCAGGATGCTTATCCCAAAGGTGTGATTCCCTTAGCTGCCATACAGATGGCCCGCGTAGCCAAAGACAATAAATTTGAGGTTGTCACAAGTCACAGGACATTTGTCTTCCGAGCTGATAATGATGGTAAGCACAGCATTTTTAGCAGATAACTCTTATGCATTTGACGCTTAAAAGCGACTTTACATTGCATTCAGGTTATAAGTTCATGCATTCCCTGGGAATTGAAACCCATGACTAAAAATCTCAATATGTTGGCAAATATATATTTTTCATGGCAGATAATATAGCATTGACATAACCTGCCATCTAAAAGCATTTATTATGGCACAATATTCCAAAATAATGTTTAGAAAAGTGTTTTACCTTCTTATTTAAAATTTTACTAGGTCCAAAAGAAACCTTATGATCTCGCTTTACTTCTTTTCGTAGTTCAGAGGAGCAAATGGTGCAGCACGTTGCAGGAGCGGGTCAAAGAACAGCTGGTTTTCGGCCGCCCACGTTTTGGCCCCGGCAATCACTGCCAGAAGATCGGCTTCCTGGAGCTCAAAGGAACCAAGTCTAAGATCTACACAGCCATTATAATGGAGCAGATCTGGTTGTACAAGAGTGAACAGGTGATTAGTTAATCACATTATAGCCATACTACTCTAGATTTAGTACCAATGATTTACTTTGCCTCTTTCTTCTCTCAGTGTGATGCAATTTGAGTTTTTTGAACTTCCTATAGCATATGTGCAATTCATTCAAAAATAGCCTTAAATTATTTGCGTCATGGAGCTTTAACTCTTAGTTTAAGGCTGACCCTTTGTGATATGTGTTCTGCAGTGCTTTAAAAATGGAATTGGAATTACTGTAATTGAGGCCAGAGGTGCTACAATTCGTGATGGGAAGGGCAAGAGCTTTGATCTCATTACACCTTATAAAACCTTCAGGTAAACAGTTCAAGTCATGCTATGCTTCTGTTAAGTAGCTTGTACGTGTGTACCCTTTTAAGTCATTTCCAACTCTGCAAAAACTCAGTGATTTGTCGATTTTCCATTTAAAAATATGTCTTGAGCTGAGTTTATTTTTCATACCCCTTAGTTTAAATCAAGAAAAATTAATTGGCCAGTAAGGCATATTCTTTAAAAACAAGTCCTATTATCGTACACAACTTTAATTCTCAAGTAAATTGTATAAATTGATTTAAGGACAATTTATGGAAAACTAGACAAATATGCTGATAAAAAAAAAAAATGAAAGTAACATTTTCGTACCTTTATAAATATATAATACATAATAATATTTAATATATACATCTGTATTTTAAAAGAAAAATTGTAATTATGGTTAAATATTTTTTTATATGCTACCTTTTAAAAGGTTGGGGTCAGATTAAAAAAAAAAAAATCTCTTATGCCGATTTAATTGATCAAAAAATTGAGTAAAACATTAATATTGTGAAATGATTATTACAATTCAAAATGACTGCTTTCTAAAAATTGAATAAATTCCTGTGATGGCTAAGCAAAATTTTCTGCAGCTATTACTGCTGCTCAAGAAAACATTTCTTATTGTTGTCAATGTTGAAAACAGCTGTGCAGCTTAGTATTTTTGTGGCAACCCTGATACACTTTTATCAGCATTCTTTGATGAACAGAAAGTTCAAAAGAACAGCATTTATTTGAAATGGAAATCTTTTGTAACATTATGAATGTCTTTACTGTCATTTTTTGATCAATTTAATGTGTCCTTGCTGAATAAAAGTACTAATTTATTGGGGGAAAAAAACATTACAGAACCCAAACTTTTGAACGCTAGTGTATATTTTGTAACACACACACACACACACACACACACACACACATATAGACGTTATTGAAATAAAGTCAATTTCATCATTTAAATTTAACCACACACTTAAAGAAAGTAGAGAAGTCATACAGAGGTATTCCCACAAAGTAACCATGCCAGACTAGAGACAGTTAATAGGATCCATGATGGCATAGCATTAAGAGGGTTGTGTGCATCCTTGCAGCTTTACGGCAGAGTCGGAGCGAGAGAAGAGGGACTGGATGGAGGCCCTGCAGGAATCTATAGCGGAAACACTATCTGATTATGAGGTGGCGGAGAAGATCTGGTCCAACAGGTCCAACAAGATCTGCGCAGACTGCAAAGCCATCAATCCGGACTGGGCATCCATCAATCTCTGTGTGGTCATCTGCAAGAACTGCGCAGGTGTGTGGCGGTGACTTATCAGCTCGATGACTTTTATCATTTAAAATTGTGAATTAGACCAGAAATTCGTCAAAACAGTTTGGTGTGAGAGGTTTTCCCTTTTCCAAATAGTCACTAGCTTGCAAGGGTAATGGCGGTGTGGAGTCTTGGTTGATACAGATGGTGCTAAGAGTTTCTAAGCTCATTTGAGAGTTCATGTGAGGTCCTCTTGTGCCGTACACTACAGATAAAAGTGGCTCAGAGGCACCGTATCAGGAAGTCTTAGTGGGACAAACAGAATAAATGGTGCGTGGAGAGTGATGTGGTGCCTCTTTTGTTCTGTCTGCCTGCAGGCCAGCATCGAGGTCTCGGCACAATGGTGTCGAAAGTGCAGAGTCTGAAACTAGACACCAGCGTGTGGAGCAATGAGATCGTCCAGGTAGGGTTTGCCGTGGGTTTTTTTTTTTTTACAGGTCTTTCTTTGAAAAGATCCTTGTATTCCAGTTATCAGGATTCCTGATATCCCCTGTGATTTCATCACAAGGTCTTTTACAAATTAGGCCTTATCTCTGTGTGTTCTAGCTCTTCATAATGCTTGGCAATGATAGAGCCAATGAATTTTGGGCAGCCAGACTTCCTGTGACTGAGGAGCTGGACTGTGACGCCTCCCCAGAGCAGCGGAAAGAGTTTATCACCCACAAATACAGAGAAGGCAGATATCGCCACCCTCATCCCAGTTTTAGCACTCAAGAGGAACTTCTTAAGGTAATGGATAAGCCATTTACACCCACAGGAGACAGATCATGCAAACCAATGATAACTTGTTTACCAGTCATTAAAATGATTAAGATTATTCATGAATTATTTAAGATTATTTATAGTCTTCAAAATACAGTAGTAAATACAAAATAAATGCTTCAGAAGTGTTGAGCATGGCTCCTTTAACCTCAGATTTTGTTTTAATTTCACTGTTTAATTTTAAACCTCAGTTTAAAAAACCCCAAATATCAGGGAATTTTAAAATTGAGTTTTCAGGCCTGGAAAATGTATGGAAGTAAAATAATACAATTAATACAAATACAATTTAATCTGCCCTCAGTGCATGTGTGTATGTATGTGTGTATATATATATATATATAATTGCCAATATTATTGTTATTATTGCTACTATTACTGTTATTAGTTTTAAATGCATAATAAAAGAAAGAATAAATAAGTTATTAATAATAATAATAGCTATTATTATTGTAATTAGTATTACTATTATTGTTATTATTATTACTATTATTATTTTGTTTTTAAATGCACACTACAAAATAAATATAATAATAATAATAATCTAAAAATGGAATAATAATATTAATATTACTACTACTACTACTATTACAACTACTACTACTACTAATAAATATTATTATTTAATGTAACTAAAATCTTAAAGTCATGGGTATGGTAAATATAAGTTATTCTCAGTAATGCTCAGTAGTAATGAAAGGCCATGGAAAAGTCAAGGGAATTCATTGTTCAAAAAATATGGAAACTTTATATTCTTGACTGAAGCCTTCGTGTAAACCTTGTGCAGATGTATATAGGGATTTTGCCTAGATAATTATGAGGTAATATTGCTCTCAGTTATCTTCAGAGCCACATAACTTCAGCATTTTTGCACAATAAATGCATTTCCCTTTCCTCTTCTGCAACACACTTCATTTTGAAATACCCTGAATACTTCCTCAAATGAGAAGTGCGGTGCACTATTGCAGCGGACATTTCTCCCTGTAATAGCTTTGCTTCAAAAGAAAACTTTTACTGGGGCAGTGAGGACATCCTGTCTTAATATAGCTAGAGCCATCTAAGTATTATGCCAGCGGTCAAGCCAAGATTAGTGTGTATTATTCTTTCTCAGGACTTTACCAAGGCTATCATTTGTGTATCCAGGCTACCTATGAACCCCCGAATAAGCGGATGGCTTTGTTGTGAATTGAAAATAATTAAGAATGATAATAAAAGGACTGCAATGAATAGAAGGACTTTTGGAAGAAGATTTGAATGTCCGTTGGCTAAATATGCTATTAGCAGTGCATTTGTTGAAGTGTGTATACGTTTGTGTGTGTGTGGTCACCCTGCAGGCGCTGTGCACCGCTGTGACTGAGCAGAACCTACTGAAAACGGTCACTCAGATTTTTGCGGAGGCTGAGGCCGCGCGACTCGCTGACACTAATGGAAATGATAAGCGCGCATCCCCGCATTACTCATACACACAGTCAGCAGGTATGATAGAGTCCATTCCAGTACTTCACTGCAGCCATGTTTCTTAAAGTTGAAGATTTAATTTGATAGGCACCATGTCGGAACTGGGAAAAATAAACTCAATCACAGTTCCCTTAAAATTCAACATCTTAAACATGGTGAATAATGTTTTTTATGTATGTTTTTGCTACACTCTGTGTTTCTCTGTACTACAACATCAATTACATACTATGCTGGAAATTGTAATATATGTCATCCTTGAGTGAAATACAAGAGGTGTGAAGTATCTTACTGTCATTTTCTGGATTCAGATTCCTGTGTCTATGATGAGATCATGCAGTCCATCCTGTACTCCGGCTACCTCTACAAGTCAAGCTCCTTGAACAAAGGGACATTATCCCACAGAACCAGAGACGGTAGGCGACTATGTGCCATAAACAAGCCTAGGCAGTGATTTGGGAGCAGAATGTACCTCTTCAGTAAAAATAAAGCTATTCAGTACCATGTAACTACTTCATACTCATCAGCAGTGTTGGGAGTAACGCATTACAAGTAATGCAAGTTATGTAATCAGATTACTTTTCCAAGTAACTAGTAAAGTAACACACTACTTTTAAATTAAGCAAATTAAATGAACAAAACACAAGTTACTTTGTTTTCTAATTTATTCACTGACATCTCCTCTGTCCCCAAGTTGAGAGAAATTGGAAGTGAGGTGCAGAGATATTTCCTTTATACCGAGGCGTATTCATTTCGCTTTTGGTGTAAAAGGGCTTTTACAGTTGCCAAAAATGTAACTTTTGCATTTTTCGTTATTAAAAAACAAATAAGCAATTCCTGAGCCTTCAAAATGGTCTCTCAGTTTGGTTCACTAGGCTACACAATCATGGGGAAGACTGCTGATCTGACAGTTGTCCAGAAGACAATCATTGACACCCTTCACAAGGAGGGTAAGCCACAAACATTCATTGCCAAAGAAGCTGGCTGTTCACAGAGTGCTGTATCCAAGCATGTTAACAGAAAGTTGAGTGGAAGGAAAAAGTGTGGAAG